CAAATGCACTTATTTTAAGAAAAAATGACTGATCTAGATATACATTTTTTCCAGTGTAATTAGCTTATTTTAAAAGGTAAAATGTTCATTCCATAACCAGATCATACATTTATTTTAAAGATATGTTGTTTTAAATCAGTTTTTGCAGTGTTGTAACCCTAAGCATCCAATGTGTGGTTGCTGTGTCAGAAAATCATGCTGCTCCAGAACCCAAAGCCCTACCTGCAGCAAAACAAGGACAGTCAAACAGCTGTAGAGATGAAAAACGCCACGCTATCCTGGACCAGTGCTGCCGGCGAACAGCATCACCTTCCCAGCCAGAACGGGGAGGTGAAGGAAGACAAGGAAGAGGAGAATGGTCGGAGTCAGAGCTTACCAACCCTGAGAAACATCTCCTTCACTCTGCCCAAGGTCTGCTGGGAATCGGATTAGCTTATTGTCGTGTTTTGGCTCAGCCGAAGCCTGAAGGTCTCTGTGTTTCTTCCTGAAGGGCAGCCTGCTGGGTGTCTGTGGGAACGTGGGGAGCGGAAAGACATCACTGATCTCCAGCATTCTGGAACAGGTTGCTACGCCATTTTTTCCACTGTCACTAGTTTCTGACGTATCTTTGCTTTTAAAAAGCTTTTGCAGTTTAAGCAATCCTTAAATACTTATCCTTTAATCTTCCAGATGCATCTTCTTCAGGGTTCCATCACAGCGGATGGGACGTTTGCTTATGTTTCCCAACAGGCCTGGATTTTCCATGGAACAGTTCAGGAGAACATCCTGATGGGCGAACCGTTGGACCAGGCCAAGTAACCACACACTGTTTTTCTTTTTCAAGGTTAAAAATGTTTAACCAGGAGAACGTGAAATTTCGTCTGTCATGGTAGTTAAACAAGGACAGAGGTCGTCTGTGTTATCTGGCAGCTCACCTTGGGGAACTGCTGATCAATGCATATGGATTTTATGTAACATAAGATAAGGACTGTCTCTAAAAAATGTAATAGAAAGCAGCTTTAATTATCCCTGAGATAGATATCTTCTAGGTTTAAATATATCTACCAGACAGGAAGCTGTTATCACTTAGTTTAGTTACAATTTACCTAAAATTCAGATATAAAATTCTATTACAATGCTATTCATTGTTTGATCTATTTGCTGATGTTTTCATGATGGTTTCATAAACCACTGAAACATGTACACTGCAAAAAATGTAAATCTAAATAAGTCATTTGTTCTTAAAATAAGTGCATTTTTTCTTGAATTGAGGAGGTAAGTGAGACACTTTGCCAATGAACAAAACAATTTACATTTGAAATAAGAAAAAAACTATTGCATTGTCTTATTTCAAGTGCATATTATCTAATTATCTTATTCTAAATGTAAAAATACTCATTCCATTGGCAAACTATCTTATTTACCTGCTCAAATTAAGGGTAAATACACTTGATTTAAGAAATTTTTACTTAATTTCAGATCGTTTTTGCAGTGTATTGGCCTCCTAACACATTCTCTCTGTTCTACATTGTTGAACTGATTCTTTTTAAATAACAGAATGACATTAAAATAACCAGAAATATGTTTGAGAGTTATTTTTTTTCTCATTATCTTGGAAATTATGTGTTTTAAAGCAAATTCATTCATTTATAGGTCAATTAATACCCTATAGAAGGAAATTTATGCTTCATCTTTTTTTCCTTATTTTAAAAACTAAAAATATAAATATACCTTAACTTGATTATTTAAGATAGCAGCAGATTTCTTATTGGGATTAATTAATTTATTGCAAATTACTAATTTCATAAAAGTAATAATTCTAATCAATTATTTTATTTTTTTGTATTTTGATACATTTTAATTAATAGAATGCATTTAAATGAATATGGTGTGTTTCTTCAAAAAGTCATGTCATATTTTGCAGCTCAAAAGGACTTTTACTTTGGATATGAAAGGTTGCAGATCCTGTTCTAAAGCATCTTAGTTGGATTTAACGGTGGATTTTAATTTCAAAGACTCTTTATTCTTTGGGTTATTTTCCTGCTCTTTATGTGATTCAGCTTAGGGTCAAACTAACCTGACTCCGCCAGATGGATTTGCTCCGCATATCCATCTGGAAACCTTCCGTTGAAGTAATTTTGGG